TGGGTGCTTGAGCGCATCTTTCTCATATCGAGAAAGGCTTTCCTTGAGTTTTCAATAAGGGGTTTTATAGTTAGGTTCGGGTCGATAGGATAAATTTGTTAAAATTTGAACAAAGTACATATTGGGTGAGTAATTTTAGAATAAGTGTTTTTAGCCTGATTGAATTATAATTACTTTTGTAAATCATTTTAATATTTGGTTCACATTTTAAAAGTGATTTGGATATAATCAATGGTGTTTTTGGTTAATTAATGTTTGTTTTCAAAAGTGATTTGAGTAATCAAATTACTAAAGAGGGTATTAGATGTTAGAGAAAATCTATCAACAAAAAATTATGCGAGAGAGATAAAAATTTTAGGAGAAAAAAAATTGAATTTGAAAAAAGTTTTGAAGAGAAAAAATTAAAATTAGAAAGAGAGACAAAAAATTTAGATACAGATGGATAAAAATATTATGGGGAGATACTTGGGGATCACGCAATGGTAATTAGATCCTTGGACCTTGTGTATCACCTTTYATGAGACTTTTAGTTCAAGCCTTACGTGGTGATTGTGTTTCTCAGCCTAGGCAAGTCTCGGTTGTAGGAATCCATAGCAAGCCCCATAACATCGATTCTAGAGAATAAAAAATTTCGACAGAAAAAATTTAAAAACAGAGGAAAAACAATTGTAAAGGTCAACTCGGTCAAATTTGAGAGAGAAAAATGTTGTTAGGGAAAGGAAAAAGAAAACGGAGTGAAAATAATATTAAAGTTGGCTCTTGATGAGACAATTAGGAACATATGTTTTATCAAATGCTTTRACTAAGATCGATGGTTTGTTCCTCAACTGTTGAATGGTTGAACTTGAAACGAAAAAATAGCACTTTACTATTGATGATAGATACCTGTTGATGATATAGTTTTTTTTATTATTATTTTTTACGTTGAACAACATTTCACGTGAGACTCAAACCTTGGCTTTTTAATTGAGGATATATATAACTTTTATTGTGTTTAAGTTGCCTCTTGAACTTAATTAAAAAAAAACTAATACAAATTAAAAAATTAATTGAAACTTTTAAATGGATCTAGATAAATTTTAAAAAAATATACGCGCATCATAAACAGATTATGTATTTAAACATAAAATAATGAAAATAAAAAAGTTTGGAACCAAAGAGTTTATTATTATTTATTATAATTATTTTTATTGAGCAAGTAAGTGTGGGGAGTCCAATCCATAACCATAGGTTGGATTTGAAATCAAAAAGTTGTTTAAATCATAAATTATTTGTCAACGGTAATTGACACCTGTTTCTGATTAAATAGTCGTGAGTTCGAATCCTCGTGATCACTATATTGTGATCACTATACTGTGGTCGGCTTTAACTATGTAAAAGTTAGAGTATTAATTTACTTTTTAAGAAGGCTATAGAATACATTTTATAGTGTATTGAAAATTATACTAAAAACACACTATTTCACAACTTCTATTGGATTCCATTACATTGAATTTCAAGTTCATTTCTATATATAGCAAAAAAAAAAAAATTATTGTCATGATAGGTTATGAATGGCTTAGCGAATTAAACCACTGGTAGGGCCTTTTAAAAATTTGAAAAGAAATTTTCTTTTGTTATTTGTTATTGAAATATCACTTTTAATTATAGAATTTTGTTAAATTTTCTCTTTTTCTATGAGAACATTACAAAAGAAAAGGTAGAGATTCCAATTTAGTTACAACTTCTTGTAGGGAGTAGAAATATTTTAGCGGGTTGGATTATGCTTAAATTGGATATAATAGTTTTATTTTTTATTTTTTATTTTTGTTGCTGTAAAATATTGCACATATARAAATCCAAAAAATATATATTTATAAATATGGCAAAAATTATGATTTTGTAATAAGTTTATTTATGTGCCTGAAATTTTTTGTTTCTCACCCTCTAGAATTTCTATCATTAAGATTTTTGTTCTCCCCTCTCTCTAAACTTTTGTCAAATTCTCATTTTAAACTTCAAATATTAATTGTTCAAAATAACTTGAAAAATTGTAACAAAATATTAAAATAATTATTTTAAAAAGCACTCCTACAAAATCAATTACAGTATAATTGATTTGGTCAAAATCAACATCCAAATTATACTTTAAAAATAAATTTAAAGTGATTTGGTCAAAATCAACATCCAAATTATACTTTAAAAATCAATTTAAAATGATTTTAGACTGTTCCTAAAATCAATTTGTTCATTTACCAAATATGATCAAGGGAAGTAATTTTGAGACACGAGTGATTTTGACGACAGACACACCCAATCTTGTTTGTTAAAATCACTAATTYTAAAATCATTCCCAAAGAGATCCTAAGTTATTATTATTATTATTATTTGACTACAACAATAAATTACTTATTAGTCTTACCTTGTAAATCAATAATTCCTACAATATTAATTAGTTATTATTATCAATAAGTGATTGCTATAGTTAATCATTATGGCAACGCAAAAGTTAATAACCAACCATGTAAATTAAAATTGGTCCCACAATGGAAAAAAAAACTATTTTAATTAAGTCAACCTATGATTAACTATATCTAAAATATGTAATGATTATATTAATCAATTTATAAGAATAATCACAAATACATTATTGGGTAGAGAAAAAAATTAAAAAATTACTAATGAGATTTAAACCTTCGACTTATAAACAGTATTACTAGTACCTTATCCAATTAAATTATGTTTGACAGGTGATATACAATTTACAAAATGAATGATAGTGCAATCAACAGGAAAATGCGAATAAGATAGTATATGCTTTAACAGAGAACATGATGGAAGACGATTTGATGGATGAGTGGAATTCTCGTTCCTTAATTGGCTGGATATTATAGGTTCGAACTCACACCCTTTTAGTTGTAGATATATGTCAGTTAGCGCTGAACAATGCTCGTTTTGGCAAGAGTTATTTTTTTTAAAATAAAATAAGAAGGGAGAAGTTAATGGAGCTAGGAAATAGGGGGAGGGGTAGTGTGTACTTCACTAGGTAGTGGAAAGAGGAGGGAGGAAGGACTCATACTTTAACAAAAAATGAATTAAGCAACAAATTAAAGGAGAAAATAATAACTCCAGCTTTAAAGTTGTCCACAGTTTGTGTGTGGGATTCTCCAATGCCTTAAAGCATAACACATCGTTATTCTTGCATGATCAAATAAAGGTATGAAATGAGTAAAAACTAGTAGACTGAATCCTTTATTAGCATTTATCGTAATTTATTGACTAAGGCGTCGTTTACTTCACGCTAATAGAAATCAAAGTTTTCATTCCCTTCGATTGTATTTACTAATCCTAGGAATGAGATTGTTGGGATATTCCAACTTACACTACCAACAACAACTTCAGAAAATATGAACTATCAACAAGGTAAAGAGAGAAGAAGTGACACACTGATTTATAGTGGTTCGATCAATGTGATCTACATTCATTATGACGATTCATTCATTCCTTTCATATCACCAAGAGCAACAACAAAATACATGGAGTCTTCAAGGAACAATGAGCATAAAGATATAGCACCAAAATACCCTAAAACAACACACCACTCTTACTTACCATCAATCAAGTTGATACAAAAGAGAGAAGAAGTACCCAACGGAATTTTGCAAGAGAAAACTCACTCAAATCTCTCTATTTTGGCTCACACACTTAAAAGAAAGAAGAAGGAGAAGCTCCCTCTCTACTTTCCAGCCGCAAGCCACCCAAGGAGTGAGAAAAATGTTTTGCGCTCATTTTACAAAGAAGATGCCCTAAAAATTGTGTC